ATCTAAATTGTTCTGTTTGGACCCAACTCATTCTTTAGCCAAAACTATCTCAGCTTATTTGAGAAGCTGTTATTGTAAAACTACCTTCTGTGCCTCATCACATCCGAAAGGCATTAAGGTTGTGGTGACCGTGGACGTGGACACGTCCCCGTACGTGGACGTGATCTCAGACTCGGAATCGGACTCGGAATCGGAATCTTCACGGGATATGATCTGCTTAACTAATATTAGTAATATGTACGAGATATTGTGGAATAATGTTAGCGATGAAAATGTAGTTAATTTTTACATGTATGGAGTTCTAGAGTCTGATAATAAGAGGAGAAATTTATATCTAAATGGATTTTATTGTATGGCTGAACTATATTTGGCTCGACTTGACATAGAGTTTGATGTTGAAAATTCTGATATTCAAGACATCCTTCATTCTATGTCTAATTACTTGTTGGAGCGTGCTTTGTTTTTTTGTTCTGAAAACGTATTCGATGGGAAAAAACAAGAATTTAGGGAGCTGCTATGTGGATTGAAGATTATGACAGTGGGGGAAGTATTATTGAAGAATAATTTTGAGTTGGCAGACGACATATGCCCTATTTGCTTTGGGAAATTTTGTCATGAATCAGTGGTGGCGGTAACAACACCGTGCTCCCATGTATTCCATAGGAGTTGCATATTCACTTGGCTATCAGAGAAGAACAATTGCCCTATCTGTAGAAAAAAGGTTGCCTTGCATGAATAGTTCTTGTTATTCTCATGGCTACATTATCTTTTTTTCTTATTTGCTATTTTTAGTTTTTATTTCATCTTAGCCCTAGGTTTCCAGCTAAGAGCTTTTTAGGCCTATATATTCAGGTAACACCAGCCATGTATAAACTATGTTGAATGAAAACCTGATTTTTATTACAACATTGTTAATTACTGTTTCCAGGGCTGGCATTGGAGGGGTTCTCAGAGATGACATGCCCCCTCTGTTTTTGTGCAACTTATGTTGGAAATTATAGGCATGGTAGGGGTCAAGCCATGTCTTTCCTCTGGACGGATCATTGGAAATTATACTGTACTTTCTATATTGCATTTACAGTTTGCTCTAACCATTACACCTTCAGAAATTCAGATAACTTAGACATGTTCTTTTTATGTCCCAACAGATAGATGTGGTGATGGCGTATACTGACATTCCCATGGATGATTGATGCATATTCATTCTTCATATGCTTTCAAGAATATCCCCATCCTACATAAATATTTGTAAGGAAATCTGTAACATCCGGCAATTTGAAATAGCTATGCAGAAGCTTAGAATTGGAAATAGTCATTTTTGGAAAGAATTCAAAATCTGGAAATTTAGCCAAGTATGGAAAAAAAATGAGTTTTTGGCCAACTTCAGATAGTCATAACTCCTAGCTCAGGATGAGTTAGGTGTATTTTCAGTTATGTTTGGAAAGCTCTTGGAGTGATCTTTCCAAAGCCGCCGAGTTTGCTCAATTTCGAGTTCGTATGAGTGAGTTATGCCCTTTGGAAGTTGGGCTGTTGACACAGGGAAGTTCATCCGAATTTGTAAGGGTATTTTGGTATTTTCCCTAACCATTTCTTTTGGTTATATTAAGGGTCTAGACTGGTTTTAAATCAGTTTTCCCTTTTAAAAAGTGAGGGTTAGGGCTTTGAGAGAGAAGAGGAGAAGGAGAAGAAGAAGCAAGGTTCGTAGAGATCGTCGTGGATTTCGTCGGGGGTGATCCCTATTAAGGTATGTGAGATCATAGTATTGGGTTGGTTCATTCCCCCACACGCCAACTTGTTTTAATTCCGAGAAAAGATTGGTTGTGGTTGTGTTTGTTGAAGTTTGTGGTTGTGTTGTTGAAGTTTCTTGTTGGTTTGGTGCATGTTTTCGGATGGAATTCCGAGTTGAATCTATTGTATTTTGAGGGTTTTAATGATTATGAGTGTTTGGGGAAAGAACCTTGGATGTTAAGAGGGTTTAGAGTTGGAGAAACTAAGGAGAAAAGTTGGATTTTCGAGGGAAAAGGCTGGGGCGTCGCGCCAGCCAGCGCCCCCCAACAGGGGTTCTGAAGTTTCCCCCTTGGGGCGGCGTGCCTTGCAGAGCGCCCAGCAGGCCCCTCTGAAGTCTGAAGGCTGGTGCCCCGCGCCTCTCAGAGCGCCAAGGACGCCAATCCTTCCCATTCCTTCCCCACTTTTTCATACATGTTCCTTGGTAATGTTCCTATGTTTTATTATTGTTTTCAACACTCTAAGGTACATCTAGACATCACGAACTCATCCATAAACATGAGATCATTACCCTTGAATCCATAATCCAATTCGAGGAAAGTTAGGATCAAAGTCAAGTGAAGTTAGAGTCAAGCTTAGAAATTAAGAAGTAAGTTAAAGCAAGTCTTTAAAGTTTTTCAAGAGTCTTTATTGAATGTTTTAACTTCATTTTTAGGTTCAAGTTTCAAGTTAAGTAAAAAGTATAGAGTTTCAAGTTAAGTAAAGAGTATAGAGTTTCGAGTTAAGTAAAGAGTATAGAGTCAAGTTCATTTCTCAAAAGTTATTAGGGAACTAAGTATTTCCAAAGAGGCTTATAAATGTTTTCACATTTAAGATGAGAGGAGACTGAGATTTCCAAAAGAGCTTTGAGCAGTTTGAGTATTGTCTCTTTTAAGAAAAAGATGAGTTTTGCGAAAGAGTTTCTAAAACATGATTAGTATGACAACCGAGTATGTCATCAATGTTTAAACAGTATGGTCTCTAGATATACCATCAATGTTTATGCAGTATGACTTCCCGAGTCATCAATGATCATATTAAAATATGGTTTTGATATGTTCTTTTTAGAAAGAGTCTTCAAGAGTAATTACCTCTTTTAAGAGGGTAGTTTGAGCAATTAATTCAAACTAGAGAAAGAAGTTTGTTTTTTTAAATATATGAGCTAAAGTATATTTTGGGAGTAGTCTTGAGCACCGAAATGGGGACGCGAGTTCATACTAACTCAACCCTCCATAAGAACCATGTAGCCAACATGGGATTTAACGGGTCATACTTTTTAGATGATCACGTAAGTTAAGCTAGTGGATCCATTAAGTTGAAGTTAAAGTAGTTCTATATGACGACAAAGTATAGGACAGTCTGGCAGCGTGATGGTAACAACGTTGTATCACCACTTAGGCTCCGAGTGGTGGTTGTCGGTTAGAGAAACTCCTACAGTAGAAATTGCATGGTTCCTCGAGGGGTTCTGCTTAGTATGGATGGGGGTATGGGACTTCATTCATGCATTGCACAAGTAGACTTTGAGAGGGAGCATGGTATTTTTATGATATTATAAATATGATTTTTGACGTCATGTTTTAAATAGTTTTACAAGCTTTATATATTGCATTTGTCTTATTGTTTTATATTGAGTTCAGTTACTCATGAGTTGAATAGAGCCAAGGTAAGTTCTCTTTTGTATCCCTTTCAAGCTTAAGTTGTTGTTTAGCTGTCCAGCTCGCTTACTCGTACATTCCATATACTGTTGCCAGTTGGCCTGCATCTTATTATGATGCAGACGTAGGTACCCAGGATCATCATCCAGCACACCGTTGATCCAGTTGAGCACTCCAGAGTTAGTGGTGAGCCTCCTTGCATTCCAGAGGACTATTATTTCATTTTTCTTAGTTTTTTTTTATTAGGATGTTGCGGGGTCTGTCCCAACATCCATCTTAGTATTATAGAGGCTTCATAGACAGTCAGTCAGTTAATATTGAGTCTCTCATCTATGTATATATATATATATATATATAAATATTCTATTTTGAGACTCGAGTTGCCTTTTTGGACAGATTTTATCAGTTAGGTTGTTTTATGACCTTTCATTGCATGGAGTTATTCTGTTGAGTTAAGTTTTCCGCTGAGTTAAGTAAGCCAGGCCAAGGTTCGCTTGGGGCCAGCAATGGTCTTCGAGTGCCGATCCCGCCCAGGGTGTAGGCTCGGGGAGTGACAAAATCTACATGCTTCAATAGAAAACTCACCTTATATTCAATTTAGCAACCAATTGACAACCCTTAGTTATCATCGTCATGTTGTGGCACAACTATATATGTGCAAACACTGAAGGATAGTACAAATACAATATATACTTCATATATAGATTCATTTAAAAGAGATTTTCTATAGTAAGCAGATCTTCGTTCTACTGTTAAGCAAAGTTACATACTTGACATGGGATGTTTGATGCTTAGAAGAACTAAAAACTTTCGATTAAACATGGTTGCATAAGTTATGTATGATGTCTTTTGCAATTGAGATGTGAAATTAAAACGTGATAAGACCATAAATCAATAAGAAATGAGAACCTTGAAAGAGCCAAGACACGCGCAATAAGAAATGAGAAACCAATCCAATACATGCCATCCAAGAATTATATAACGCACAACAATTAGCTGCAACTCTATAACATCTAATTCTGACAATGGAAGTTTACTTATTTCCTAAAACTTCTGATCGTTTTCCGTGATTATCTTTTCTAAAATTTATATTCTCTATGGAGCATAAAAATAAAGCTATGTGTTTGATGATAAGAACGGCATAATTTATATTCTGAAAAATATATTAAATGTCATTAATATCAAAGCGATACCTCATTTGTAATGATCACACATACCTCATTTGTAATGATCACACAGATTTATGTTTAAACAGTTCAAAGTACAAACATAATGTTTAGAGTCAATCAGTGATAACAAAACTGCAAAATTATCTTTATTCACTTACACTTTGCTGTCAGACCACATTGAAGCAACTGTCTATTCAATAGAGAAGCAGCAGAACTTTCCTATTACCACATGAGCTAGAACGGTAACAAATTGAATATATTGTTATCAGAATCCTGACAAAGAAAAAAGTTTGCTAAGTTAATATCCGATAATCATTAATAAAAATACTGAATAATGCTAAAGGAAAACTTACATTTGTTTTAAATGTTAAAGGTATTCGTCATCAATCTTTATGGTGGAGATATGAGCAATTTATGGCCAGTATTTCCCCTTGTCAAATTTTAGGAGTGGTTTGAGGAATGGACATTTGGAAATAGATAGCTCAGAGAGGGAAGGGAGCATCCCTTTTACTGGAAGGGATTTGAGATTACAGCAATCAGTGATGGTCAGCTCAGAGAGGGAGGAGGGCAGGGGTGGAAGGGATTTGAGATTAGGGCAATCATCGATGATCAGCTGAGAGAGGGAAGAGGGCAGGGGGGCAACAGACTGGAGTTGATGGCAGGAGGAGATGACTAGACTTTGAAGAGAAGGAGAGGAGTGAAGCCCTTCTTCCAGCAGTGACTGAATTTGAGGTAAATTATAAATATCTAGATATTGAAGAGAGGTGAGGCTTTTGAGATGTTGGCTGCTTAATGTTTTCAGATTCTCTATTCTAAGTGTTTGAATAGAGGAAGGCAACTCCCAATTCTCACCACCAACAATCTCGTTGTCACTGCCATCATGGTAGATGCGTAATTCTGTGAGACAGGAGAGTCTCTGTAAACGCCACTCCTTTCGATCGTTCACCAGTTTATTGCAATTCCAGATCTGAAGTAGTTGTAAATTGAAGGGCAATCCTCCTTCAGGGAAGGACTCTATTTCTGGACAATTACACAGTATCAGGTCCTCAAGAGATGGAAGGAGTTGTGGCAGCCGCTTCAGCTTTGTAAAGTTGTCGCAATAGAGGCTTTCAGTCACAGTAGTAATAAAAAAACTAGTAAGGTTGTGGCAACTCTGTACAAGCAAATTGCATGCTCCTGGGACCAACTCAGTTATAGAATCACATTCTACCAGTGCCAAAACCCCAAGAAACATCTCACCAACTGACGCCTCCAATTTCCATTTCTGGCAACGAGATATATTTATTGTCTTCAAGGTACTGGGAAGAATGCTAAAAGGTAAGGAGGTAAGAGAGTTACAATCACTAATAAATAATCCCTCAATCTTCTTCATTCCCTCAAGTTGGGATGTAAACAGCTGACCCTCATCAAAAAGAACTCCAACCTTAGGAGAACCAATAACTTCAAACCTTTTTAAACTTGGAAGTTGGATGGGTGTCTCCAAATTGAGTTCGGGACATCTTGAAATGCTCAATTCTTTCAGAGAACAGAGATTTTCAGGCAACTTCCCCATCAACTTCGGACAATTTGCAATTGAAAGCTTCTCGAGTTTAGGAAACTCTCCAATTCCTAGTACGTGCCATTGCTTCCACTCTGGCATATCTTCAAATTCAAGCTTCTCAAGACAGTTAAAAGGCTTTTTAGAGGATGAACTTCCATAGAATTCTTCAGTGACCTCTGTTATTCCATGCATCTCTCTAATCGAAAGGATTTTCAAAGATGGAAGTTGTCCCAGTGCTGGCAAGGAATCACAGTCCTTGCAGTGGCTAAGAGACAATTCTACCAGCTTAAGAAACAAAGGATCAGCTAGCCAATTTGGAAATTTTGTCCCTCTATATCCGGTGATTTCGACTTCTTTTACATTTTTATGTGGGCGTAGCTCATCAAGTATGTCTATTTCTGTTTGTGAATTGTCTACACTACTACTTTCACTCCACCTCAAAGATAGCTTCTCAACATGATTCTTCTCCCTCATCTTTGCCTTCACAGCTTCCCTTCTATCAACCACATTTTGCAACTCTACAACTGATAGAGATCCATACAAGTTATGTACTTCACCCAAATCTTCCATTCTCAAACCACCGCGACCACCTACAAGAAACTTGGCTCCCACCAACACTTGGAGGCTTTTCAACTTGCTCAGATGTAGTGGCATCTTCAAGCGACAAGTGTTGCTTATGTCAAGATGACGCAAGTTAATCAACTTCTCCATCTGCAGCGGTAGCTCCTCAAGATAACCACAAGATGACAGGAGAAGTGTCTCTAAGTTATACAATACACAAATGGAATTAGGCAACTTTTCAATCATTGTCCTAGAAAGGTCCAAAAATCTGAGGAGCTTTAATTTGATAAACAATTCATTTGGCAACTCCTTAATCATGTAATGAGACAATGATAGTACCCTCAAGGATCTTAGTCTTGGCAGTATGTTATGCTGTACCCTCTTGCTTAGAGGGTTAATATAGAGACCATTACATGTTGGAAGCAATGTCCGCAGCTGCTCCAATTTGTAGAGGGGTGTCAATTTTTCAAAGTCACCATCTTTTCCCATGGAATAAGATAAGTGCCGGCTTTTTTCCAACATATCAGATCTTTGGCTCTCTTCCAACCTGATACAAAGTTTTGAAGATGCAATTTGGGCTAAATCGTTGATGAGGTCATGCATTAAGAATTTCTCTCGGTTCCCTTCAGAAGGATTTGGGACCCTTTCGAATAATGATCTTGATCTCAACTCCAGAAAGTATTGGTTGCCCGAATCTTCAATTATTTCATCTTCCTGTGGTATGAGACCATTGGCAATCCACAGATGAATAACTTGTTCTTTCCTAAATGGATAATCTTTAGGAAATATTGCACAATAGGAAAAACATCGCTTTAAATGTGCGGGAAGATCATTGTAGCTCAACATCAGCGCTGGTAATATGTCATTGTGTGGCAGCTCCCATATTTCACTTCTCAAAATACGTTTCCACTCTTCAACCTCTGATTTGGAGCGTAACATGCCAGCAAGAGTCTTCAGAGCTAAGGGCAGTCCCTTGCACTTAGCTGCAATTTGTTTTCCGACCTCTTCAAGTTTTGGATGTCCCATAGGATCCATGTTTTCAAATGCATGTCTTTTAAATAAAGACCAAGAGGCTTCAATAGACAAATGGTCCATGCTAATTTGCTCATTTCCCATCATCAAGGCAACACTCCCTTTACGTGTCGTCACAATGATCTTACTTCCTACATCTCCATGTACAAACAGATTTCTCAAGTCATCCCATTCGTTGTAGTTGTCATTCCACACATCATCCAGAACAATAAGAAGCTTCTTTCCCTTTAAGTTTTCCTTCAATTTGACTTGAAGCTGATTAAGATTGTTGTGGACATCCTTTGAGTCAAATGAGTCAATTTCTTGAAGTAACCCTTTCGTTAGTCTCAAAGCATCATATGGCTCAGAAACACAATACCAAGCTTTCAAACCAAAATGGTTCTTCACCCTCTCATCATGGTAAATCGCTTTAGCAAGTGTTGTCTTACCCAGGCCGCCCATTCCAACAATAGGAACTACTGTCAGATTTTTTCCACTTGCATCTTCACACAATAAACGGTCAATCAAATCCTCTATTTCACTCTGCCTTCCAAAGATATCAGAATCATCAACCAAAGAAGTTGAAGGTGCTCTAGTTTCTTGTTTAGTTGAACCAAAATGCTCCGTTAAGCCAAGGTCACCAATTTGCTCTTGCAAATCCTTCAATGTTTCAACAGTATCTTCCAACTTCTCCTTTATGTTAAGACAAAAATCATCACTCAAGCACAGGTTGCAAATTTTCCAATGTTTCAATAGTGTTTCTGCAACATTTTGATTCTGACCTTCCACCTTAAGCCTCAACGCTTCATAATTGACTTCTTCTATTAAGTTTTCAGCAGAGTCCACAGCAACTCGAAGCTCATTAACCCAGTCTCTCACAGATGGATTTGATGCTTGCTTATTCTCTGCATCACTTAGCACAATCTGAAGACCACGCAAAGTCATTTTCAGCTTCTTTAAGAGCCGAACATGATGCTTTTGCTTATGAAACATGTTGAGAAGATCACCCTGAGGAGCAAGCCTTTCAAAAAGAACATTCAAAGCTGAAGAGAGAAATGCTCCACCAACTACCTCCATTTCTGAAATCTGCAAGCAAAACAAGGAACCACAAAATGATTTTAAGAATTTTGAGAAGATAAATGTTTCAATCTTAAATTACTAACAACTTTATTTTACCTGTTGAATGCTAAGAGTGGTATGTAATCAAGAATGATTGCTCTCTCTCTCTCTTTTGCTAGTGATCTTACTTGTAATTGATACAACTATATTTTATCTACAGTCTACAGCTTACAGCCATAGAAAAAAGAAGTGGCAAAACTGTCCTTTTTCCCAAAAACAAAATAATGGACTCTGGTTTCTTGACTATTCATTACTTTTTTCAATTCAATAATTGAAGCAAGAGATGAAGGGTGGAGTAGAAGGGCCCCCAGGTGGGGGACTCAAAAATAAAAGAGCTTTAAATGATAAATTTCTACACAGATCATTATAGTGCTAAAAGGGACCTACCATATCATGAATATGTTTACTCTACATTCTTGAAAGGTTCTTGTTTTTTTTAAAATAAATCATTCTTGAAAATGTTATTGCTGAATTTTGAATTTAACAAAAATGGATTCATTGTTTGAATGATACTTTACTTTCTAAATTTTGCTGTAGAGAACATGTTCTTTGCAACTGTAGGTCATTTAATACAACGTTTGTCTTGTTTTGTATAGTTGGCAGTCATAGAAAAGAAAAGTTGAAGTGGATATCTCCTTAATATGTAAGCTGTATATATTCAAAATACCAAAATTTCCCTAACTAACAATAATTAAAAGAGGGATGGTGAAATTTCACATATTTTTTCCCTTTTTCATTTCCTATATCCTAGTGAATAATTAACATTTATTTGCTTATGAATAGCAGTAAACATGGCTCTTAGTTAAACAGCTCAGTTGTTTTGAGGGAAACAAAAGCACTAATTATACTGGAAGTGTGTGTCTGTAGATATGCTGTTCACACCATCTATAGAAGAAGTTCAAGTGTTTTTCTGATGCATTAACTGTAACTACAAGGATGAGATCAGTATTTTTTGGGGATAAAAAAACCATTAGGTCTAGTTAAGTCCCCATGCTATTCTTTTCACACTAATCTGCAGAAGTTCACATAAATGATCAAATATCATGTATAAATAGGGATACTTTGAGTTCGTTCATGTGGTCATCAAGAGTTAGATTTAACAGATACTAAACCTTTCCAACAATGACATCCCAACAAGTAAGAAATGACTCTTCTTCCAGTGATCCAAAACATCTTGGAGGGGTAGAACCACAAGGCTCTGTAGTCCATGCACCTATTGTTTTATCGTTCAATGATATGATTCGACCGCTCCTTGATTGTGTGGACAAGCTTAGGCATCTCAATAGTATGCAGGAAGACATTAAGCTGCCTAGCATCTTCAAGCTTGGACACCTCAACATCATGCAGGATGGCATTCAGCTGCCTACCATTGTGGTGATTGGTGATCAGTCTTCGGTGAAGTCCAGTGTGCTTGAATCACTTGCCGGAATTAGTCTTCCTAGAGGGGAAGGCATTTGCACTAGAGTGCCTCTCATCATGAAGCTCCAAAATCATAGTGAGACAAAGGTTTACTTGGAGTACAATGGAAAATCAGTTCCAACCGATGAATTTCACGTAGCAGAGGCCATTATTCTTGCAACTAATGAGATTGCTGGACATGATAAGGGAATATCCAATATCCCTTTAACACTCATAGTGAAAAAGAATGGTGTTCCTGACTTGACTACGGTGGATTTGCCTGGAATACCTACGGTCCCGGTTCATGGAAAATCAACAGATACTTTTGAACAAATTTCAGAAATTGTTATGAAATATATAACTCCAGAGGAAAGCATAATTGTGAATGTTTTATCAGCCACTGTTGATTTCTCTACTTGTGTATGCTTTAAGATGTCCAAAAAAGTGGACCAAACTGAGGAAAGGACTCTAGTAGTTGTGACAAAGGTAGATAGAGCTCCTGAAGGGCTGCTTGAGAAAGTTACTACAAATGACATGAATGTTGGACTTGGCTATGTTTGTGTTAAGAATCGTATTGCGAATGAGTCTTATGAAGAAGCTCTTAGTGAGGAAGCAAGGCTTTTTGAAACTCATGCACTGTTATCCAAGATGGACAAGTCTATGGTTAGCATTCCTGTTCTGGCACATAAGTTGGTGCAAATTCAAGCAAACATTATTTCCAAGTGCTTTCTGGATATTGAGAAGAAGATCAACGACAAACTCGCAGTCAATGTTGCTGCTCTCAATGAGTTGCCACAGCATTCAAGTTCTGTTGCTGAAGCTTTGGCTACATTCATGAGCATTCAGAGTTTGGCTATTGAGTCTCTGAAGAAAACTTTTCTTGGAGTAGAGTCTGATGAGTACACTGAAGATTTTGAAAAGCAATGTTTTGCTAAATGGTCTGAGTTGATTGATCTTGAACTCAAACAATACTCTGCTGAGCTACGTTCAAAGTATCCTGATGAGAAGGAAGACAACTTGTTTGTTGAGCTCATGTTTTTAAATGAAGCACAAAGGATTGGATTGCCCAATTTCCTGGATGTTTTGCAGAAGAAGGTCAGAGACATTTCTGCAACTACAGAGGAGTTTGTTGGAAAATTGTGGAACTATATAGAGGGAGTTGTCATCAAAGTTTTGATGCATCATTCTGGTAGTTGCCCGGAACTTCAGTATTTCATTAAGAGGGCAGTGCAAAATTTGATTGCAAGGAGGAAGGATAAATCGGTTAATTTGATACAAGAAATCATTGGGATGGATAGGCTGACTGACCTCACTAGTAGTACTGAATATGTAGCTACTTATAGCAGTCTCATGGCTCAAAAAAAGAAATTTATGAAGTTCTGCAAATATTCCAAAGGGGGAACGAAAATAAACATCAAAGGATTTGGAGTAATTGATGTTTTGTTTTTGAGGCCTCAAAAGTTGTTGATGATCGAATGGCAACTTTGCATGTGAGGTTCTTTGCATACTGGCACTTTGCTTTCAGTCTTGAAAAGTTTGTTTATGAGATTAAGGATGAGATTCTTGGTGATCTAATAGCATCCCATGGTGGTGGATTTGAGAGTTCCCTGCAAGAATCATTGGTTGCTGAGATGTGCTTTAGGCTCAAAAAGAGTGTGAAGTTGCTTGAAGAGTTAAAAGAGATGGTGGCGAAGATTATGGAGTACAGTCTTGGTTCATCATGTTAGTTCAGAACAGGCTTAGACTAGTGTTTGATGGTTTGTGCTGCATCTCTTTTGTTCCTTAAGCCCTTGTTTTTCTTCTTTCATCGCGTTTATCTATCTACCTAGTACTCTTTATCAAATTTACAGCTACCTGTCCTCTTCTAGCTTCTTATCTACCTGGTACTATGTCATAATTCTGCAGATGTTTGTTTAATCAAAATTTTGAAAATGGAAGTCTTTCATTTGTGTATCACCTTTTTTGGCTGTGTTTTACGGTTTGAGTGGTCAGTATTCAGCTTCAAAAAATTGGTGTAGATGCAGTTGTCATGTATATTATTTGTTACAGTTATTACTTGACTACCTAGACCATTCTTCTGTGACAAGATCCCTATTTCATGTCAGTAGGAAGTTACTACTTGTACCATATGGGATGACAGTGATATATAGGGCCAACTTCCGTGCACCTCAACTATTTCACAGAATACCTACTACCTCTCACTAGTATTTCACTATGTAACTCTGACATCAAGGCTTAAGCTAGTAGTAGGGATTTGAACCCTATCTCCAAGTCACTTCATTGACCACTAGATCACTGCCTTGGATGCTCACACTGCTAGTATAGAAAAAAGAGCAGTCTGGTGCACTAAGCTCCCACTATACATGTGGTTCAAGGAAGGATCGGACCACAAGGGGCTATTGTACACAGTCTTACCCTGCATTTCTACAAGAGGCTATTTCCACAACTTGAACCGTGACCTCCTGGTCTCACATGACAGCAACTTTACCAATTAAGTCAAGATTCTCCTTCTCACACTGCTCGTATAAATAACTCAAACTTGAACTGCATGGCAACAAGCTGTGTATTTCATGGGGAAACAAAATAGGATTTACAGTATTTCTTCTGCAAGTCAAAAGAAAAACCCAAGATTGAAGAGCATTTCGTCCATAAGGCAAAAGAAGACTAGATGCAGACATGCAGTATACAATATGAAGCAATGAGCCTTTCTATCACCACAATATCTCAGGAAAAAAACAATAGAATTAGACTGATTGTGTCACCCAAAAGAGTACATTATACACCCAATAAGTTAGAAACGACAACCGAGAGAGATGCCATTACAATTGGGTTGACTGATTATTAGTTCTAGTTATTCCCGGAAGAATATAGAGTTTCTGGCGATCAGAAACATCTCCGCTGATGATCTAGCCCCTTCATCAAAACAAAGGTCCAAAATGACAAAGCTGAATTCAGGAAATTCAGACATCTTTTACCAATGTTTTCTCTGCAGTTCTACCTCATGCTCCGTATTTTGGAGCCTTCCAAAGCTTGAATGCCACTTCATGTAGAAATCTATCTGTTGGAATCACAAGGTTTGCGCCATGCTGGTTAAAAGATGAGAGCGCAAAATATTAGTAGGATCATAAATATCCATGTTAGCAGACAATAACTCTAGTGACAACAGTAAATTTTGAAGGTATTTTACGTAAGAGAAACACAAGGATGGAGATCAAGAGCAAAATCAAGGATACTACGAGTAACTAAAATGTCAGAACAGAATTGACAATGGCGCTCAAATTAGTTGAAGATGATGCAAGCTCTGCAAATTGTAAAAGACATGCAGAAAGGTTCTTGAATTTCTGCCGGCTATTCTACACGACTTGATAAATTAGGAGATCTTCTAAGTGTTAAAAATGCCTAGTGAATTTAAAAGGAACACAAGTGTAGAAGAGCATGAATCATTCTCCTTAGTTGTGTCAGCATATTTCTGAGCAGTGAAAGGAATCTGTTTGAATACCTCTTTGAAATCCTCGTATGAATATGCTTCTGCCATATCCTTCCGAGTGACAGCATTCTGCCACTGGGCCACTAATATGGGGCAATGCTGCCTGTTAACGAATACATCAGACGACAGTATGCATGGATGATATAGAATGGAAGTGGAAAAATTGCACTTACCTAACATTTGGTCGTGGTTTTCCTTCTTTAATTGTATAACTTTGACGAGGGAAAATAAGAGAGAGTTTAGAATTATTCTCTTGCCTACTGTCAGAAATAGAAAACGTGGAATCATCAGACTCATGAACAGCACCATAGCTCAACAGAACTGACATGTGCAACCTAGAACCTACTTCCGTTCCAGGATGTGCCATTTGCACCAAATTACCAACCAATCGATTGACAAGATCCAAGTCTTTGAGGCAATTTGTCGTTTGACCAGCTCCAACGTGAAGAATAACCAAATCAAATTGGCTAGACTCTAAGGTCTTCCCTTCTTGAAACCCCAGCAACTTGAACAATTCGGAGGCTAAGGCAGATGAATCGACCTGGTTATTAATGTTACTAATTACCTCATTGAGCTCTAAGACGGTGAAGCCAAGCTTATTGCAGAAACTCTTCAGTCTTAAATTTTCAGTGATGACAGCAGCTTTCATCCCCATAAACCTGAACGAGAACTTTTTAAAAAAGTGCCTTCTCAACAATGTAAATAATATCATATTGATGGATGTTCAACATGTAAAACTGGAGTAGTCTTACCTCTCCGATATGGTTGCTGCTACATGCTTCTCCTGAGATTGAGCTTCAGAAGATTCTTCCCCATTCTTAAGAACAGAGTAAGTATTTTAGCATAATCTATGTTAATTAAGCTAAGAAAGAAATGAATGTCTTTAGCAATTACTATAAACAGAGTAATCGCATCTCACCAGGGCAAGATAAGCTTCACTTGCATCCACTAGCTCAGCAAATTCTCTGACAATTCTTGCATCCTCAGTTTCTGCAATCTAATCCCCATATAAATTCCAAAATGACGGATAACAACAACATACCGAGTGTAATCTCACAAGTGGGGCCTAGGGAGGGTGGTGTGTACGTAGGAGGCTGTTTTCGATAGACTCTCAGCTCAAATAAAGCATATCAAAAGATAAGTATGTAAAACAAATACAATAGTGAAGAAGTCGTGCTGAAAACAACGAAGAAAAGAACAATAGCAACAACAAATAATACGATAACTGAAGCCAAAATGACAAATAAGAAGTACAAAAATGTAATTAAACTCCCAACATGAACTGTAAAGTAATAACAATCTGTGTACTGTCCATGAAAACTATTTTTTAAAATTTAGAAACTCACCATGCTTTCTTATGAATAAAAGTACTCACCCACCCTAACACTATAGGCATAGCATAACAAGAAAAATCATAGGCACCAGGCTATAGAGTTGAATTTATGGGATGGCAAACTCTTCAATTTTAATTGGTTATGATGCATCCCACATGTCATCAATAATATTTAACATATTCTGTAAATTCCACTCTTTAGAGAAGTCTTATTGTTATCTAGAGGGTAAAGTGGGTGTAGGAAGGATATATATATCAGCTGCCTCATAAAAGTGATCAAGAAAACATAACATCCTCCTATCTAGTTACACAATAAATATTTGATCTCAAGTGCTCGGTCGTCTAGGATGGCTATGTCTTCCACGAATAATAATTTCATTCTCAGCTAGTGGTTGAGAAAAGATGGTGCACCAGTTCCTTGGAGTCAACTGCCTTGATGACTTTTCGATTTCTACAAGTGCCTAATTGGCTTCCTTAACAGTGTAAATGAAGAACATTACAAGTCCTTCCGTTAGCAAGTCTCAGAAATGCTCTACCAGTTTGCTATGATACACATAAAAGTTTTGAATCATACAGATGGAAGGTACAAACTTTTGGCTCTCCATTTTTTTGGAGTTGGGTCGGGGGATGTTTCATTATTAGAAAACAAAAAAAATGCCAGATATAATTGTCTTTCAGGGTTACTGATAAATCTAACAATAACTAAACAAGATGAAACACAATAACTAATCTTAAACTCAACACACATTATATTCATGCAATCAAGAAAGTATATTTTCAATCAAACTTGGTCGGCTAGATGAATGCCCTGCATCTTATTCAATTCCATTCAGTCCATTTCATTCCAATACTATTCAGTATTTCAACACAAATTGGGGATTCTTATCTATAGGTTCTCTAACTAGACTAAAAAGGCTCCTCACAGACACCAGTACAATGTACCTGTAACAAAAACTAATCTCAACTAGTTGGCATCGCCTATATGGATCCTTTGCTATATTACCAAACAAACAAAGACATTTAACTATCACCAAAACGAGATTAATTAACTTCTTTTTCTTTATTGGCACGAGACTAATTGACTTACTAATTCAAAGCACAGTATATTACATGCTATTTAGATATGCATCTAGTATTCATTATCAAAAAACAAAAACTTCCATATGCAGATGGATCAAAGTCTATTCAAAACCATGCAATCTCAACAAACTGCAGTATTAAAGATGAAAAAGAGCAAACCCCACATAGAAATTATCAAAAAGAAACAATCTTGAAGTTACCAAACTAAAAAGGACTCTTTACCAAAAGTTGGACATGATGTAAGTGTAACATGGATGTTTTCAGTACTTCAAAAAGCATCATAACCCCACATAAAATTTATCAAAAAGAAACCATTTTGGAATTAAAAAAAGGTAAAAAGAAACAAAAAAGACCTAAAGGAGGAGAGTGAAGAAGAAACAAGAAACCACATCAAACAATCCTAATTCTTGCATATGCAAACTGATTTCTACTAAATAAACATGCAATTTCTGTTAACCCAATGATCAAATATGAAAAATAGCATAACCCCACATAAAATTTATCAAAAAAGAAACAATTTTGGGATTAAGAAAATCAGAAAAAGACCTGAAGGAGGAGAGTTAGGAAGAGACAAGAAGCCACAGCAAGCTCGAGAAGTAAAAGAATGGAGGTGGGTATGAGACGGGTCAATGGATCGGGCTAACCCGTCACCATATAATACCAGTGCTCTGCTAGGCTTATCTGCCATAATCAATCAAATGTATTGGAATTGATGATAATGAAGAAGAGAGATGGATTGTTGTTGATTATAGTGAATAAAGCTTGCAACTTTGGGAGAAAGAATCTCACTTTTCCCTTTTTTCTTTTGTAGAGTATTCGTTTAAAAGAGTATTTTTAGATTTGATTTATTTGAAGTATTTTTTTTTTGAAAAAAATGAAAAACATTTAAGATAAAAATGACAAAAGTTAGGATATGATTCTTTTTAGCTTATAAAGCTAGTTTAAAAAGTTAATCTAAACATTTTCTAAGTTCATTTTAGTACTATGATAATATAATTTATTTGTATTTGGGGAATATATATAAGATAGTGTAGGTTTTGTGTAAATTTCACATATATATTTGAGCTGGTAAAAACCTTGTGTATTGGGTGTGTCTTTTACTACTCTCTCCGTTCCATTTTATGTGGCACTTTTCAGATTTCGAGATTCAAACAAGTCTATCTTTGACCATAAGTTTTTCATAGATCTTTTAAACATTTTGAATTATCAATTATTGTAACTTATAGTACTTTTTACATAGTTTACAAATATATAAATTTAATTTCAAAAAATTGAAGATTTCATGCACAAATTTCCGGTCAAACTTAAACTATTTGACTCTCGAAAAACTAAAAGTGTCACACAAATTGAGACAGAGGGAGTATAACATTTGAAGTTGAAGTAATTTTATAATTGCAAAATCTTAAATTGTATATGTTGATATAATTTATTGAACGCTTGTATATATTGTATTTAACATGATCATGTGCATTGAGTTGTCGATTTAACGAGTTTTTAAGCGATAAAAATTCAAAAATTATTAAAGTTTTTAGAAAAAGCTTCGGCTCTATGTGTTAATGAAGAATTTCGACATTCATATGAGAAATAGACTTATGCTACATACTCTTAATCAATGGTAATGCTTCAATTGTCAAATATGGTCGAATATAAATTGATGACTTATACAACTAAATGCACCATATATATACAAGTAAAATACAAATATATGTATCAGACGTCTATTTCTGAAACATATGTGGTGCATATAATATTCACGTATTAGAAATAAACTTTGATGCACACAATTGTATCAACAATCAACAACAATTCATTCGTTGAAATACAGTCAAAACAAAAGAATGTATACAATCATATAACTAGATTATAGAATACATAGTATCCAGTGAAATTGTATGTATTGATACAAAGTGACCCTCTTTGTTTGATTAGTTAGTTTTCAAGAGGGGAAATTCTTATGGCAATCTCAGGCATACTACTAATAGATTATTTGGCCTAATTGAAACAACCTAGGAAAGGTTGTCAGCCTACATAACTTACTTCTCATACTTAGAAAGCCAGGTATCAAATCCCTATAGTTCGAGCCCTTTGGATCGAGCAAACATACATAGTATGCCCAACGAAATTGTATGTTATGATACAACTAGATTAAGCAAACATATACAACTTCATAATAATAGCTAATGAACAAATACGGCTCCAAAACTATAGGTATGAATAAATAATAGACAAACTATAGCTGCTAATAATAATTATGCTCTAAACTATAGTTATTTATAAATTTTACTCTGAAGGGAAAACATTGAAATTATTTACAAACTAAAACCTATATCCAAATCCTTTCTAGCCCAATAATAATCAACTAAAGGCCCAAATATGAAACCTAAAGGACTAATAGATTGAGGATCCCAACTCTGACCTCGACCCGGAACCTAATTTAAGACTCTAACTCCAACCCTGACTTGGACAAACTAGAAAGAAAAGTACGATCTTAACTCTATTTTGTAGGGTAAAGTTTATATTCAATAGATTATTTGCTCAAAAGAAATGTAACTAATGCAAAAAAGATGAAAAAGAAAGAGACAACAAAACATCAATGTACAAAGTAAGTCCAACAACATATATTACTACACATTTGAAGAAAAATAAACTACAACAATAACATATCAAATGCATTCCCATGAGTGAGGCTTGAATAGGGAGTGTATAAACATATCTTATATTTTCCTTAAAATAAAAGAGAGGTTGTTTTTGATAGACCCTCAACTCAAACCAAATGAAAAAGATGACAATAATAATAAGTAGGAAAGGGAAAAAAAGAAACTATGCAATACATAAATCCTACCATTAGCATTATGAGAACACTAAACTATCCATTAATCTTTTATCCCAATTCTCGACCTCATTACCTTCTTGTCTAAGATTATATCCTCAATCCGCTAAAGATATTCCATATCTAATCTAATAACGTTTTGATGAACGATTATTTACGTCAATTTCCTCTTGCAAAAATCAGATAAGGGCCCAAATGTGAAACCCAATGGAAAATAGCTCAAGCCCAAAGGATCAATAGACCGAGTTATACCCATTTACAACCGGGTATCCATCTTTGCTGGTAACCGTTAGATCAGTTCCACGTGTCTCCATCTGCTTCCTTCAATAAAACAATTCTGTGTATGTATTTCTCAGACCAATCGCCGCCTCTTTCATTGTTCTTCTCTTTGGCATTCTGTAGAAGCCGGAGTTTCACCGGAGAATCAGAAATGGCGTTAATAGCTCGAAATGCGAAACTGCTCACCGGAACGGCGCCGTTCCTTCAAAGGGCGGCGACGATCCACACGACACTCCCATCTCTCTCACAGCAACCTGCCTCTTCTCCGGCCACTTACGGTGGCGCACAGCCTCCGTCCATGAATACACCAGCAGGGATATCTAAACCGGCTGAGTATGTCATATCTAAGGTCGACGATCTGATGAATTGGGCTCGTCGTGGGTCCATTTGGCCCATGACTTTTGGATTGGCTTGTTGCGCTGTGGAAATGATGCACGCCGGAGCTGCACGTTACGATTTTGATCGATTCGGTATTATTTTCAGACCTAGCCCTAGGCAATCCGATGTTATGATTGTTGCTGGTACACTTACCAACAAAATGGCCCCTGCTCTGCGCAAGTATGTATAAATTCTAACGATTAACCCTCTTTTTCCGTTTATCCCATACGTCTGTTTACGAAGTATCTGTATGTCTATATTTGGATTCTATTTTTTCTGTAGAATTGGATTTGCTATATGAACATTTAGGGAAATCTGATAACCAGCAATTTTTTTGTATTTTTGTGAGATCAATCGATTATGTCTTGGTTTTATGAAAATCTATTTCATTCTGCTCTGTTGGTATGTTTTCCCTCGGGTGCAACAAACTGAGGATAACATGAGGTTATTCAATTTGCTTCATTTAATCTGATTATTTGGATGTTGGTTTCTTCTCTGGCATAGTCTCCCACTCTTCCTTTTTGTATGAAGGTTGGGCATAGTGTTATTTAGAACTGGTCTTTTGGTGGAGTGATGGATTTTGGTGTAGTAATAGAAAAACAGAGGTTATGGAGCACTGTAGCTATAATGTATAGGGTAATAATGTGAGAATTGGAGGAAACTTTGGCATGCTTTGAATGTTATTGTTAGAATGTTTTAGTAGGACTCAGAATGAACATAGCTCACAGGAGCATCATAGATCATCACCAAGTAGGATGACAATCAGAATAATCTAGTATTATATGATATAACGCAACATGTGGTTGGCCAGGTTTCTTTAAAGTTTTGCTTTTAACGTTCTCTAAGGAACACTAATTAAAGAACATGTGGGTTTTTGTGAGAACATACTTAAGAATGTCTACAATTTTTCAACACACAGAAATGTTGAAATCATCACACTGCATCTTTTAATTAGTGTTCATATTAATTATCGAAAAATGAATCTTCCCCTATTTAAAATTCTTGTTGGTTAAATAAGGTTTCAAAGGCGAGCATTTAAATTTGTGTTCCAAGGAAGTAGCGTATTTGTTATCGTGATGAGAAATTTGCAGATTGTTAGATAGATATTCATCCAATAAAGCTCAGACCCCACATATGGGATTACATTAGGTATATTGTTGTTTTTGTAACCATTCAATATAAACAAAGACAAGCATTTGCACATAAATATTACCTACAACTTTTGTGTTGGTGTATTGAGTAATGACTATAGCCTGCCCTCTCAGTAGTGATGTCTTTTTGTTTTTGCAATGGTCAGCTAAAATAGTCATTTGATTATTCATATTGATTAAAAAGAAATGTATATATTCGTTGGATTGTTTATTTCCTTAACTCCTTAGTGTTTGTTGGTATTAATGTGTCATATTAGTCTGCAACAACAACACCTTGTGCAATCCCACAAGTGGAGTTTGGAGATGTAGAGTGTGTGCAAATTTTAACCACAAGGTAGAGAAGCTATTTCTGAAAGATCTTTGGCTCAAGTGCAACAAATCAAAGTGGTTATGAAAAGAAAATATGACAATGTGGAAAACATGTCAATTAATAAGGATAGCATTCAACAAAAAGAACAGTAACAACGATGAAATAAATGAAACATAATAGAAAAGAGAGGGTAGCAAATATCAAAAGCAAGAGATTACATGTCTATGACTAATACTACGATAGACATGTGCTACCATACTTCCATCAAGCCTAATCCCGTCGAAAAGCGAGACAGAACTCAACTTTTTAGGACCTTCATACCCTTCTATTTAAGGTCATGTCCTTGGTAAGTTGCAGTTATGTCATGTCTTGTCTAATCACCTCTCCTCCATACTTTTTCGATCTACTTCTACCTCCCCTCATATCCATTATATCTAACCTCTCACACCTTTTTATTGGGGAGTTTACACATCTTTCTTTTCATATGTCCTAACCATTGCAACTTTGCTTCCCTCTTTGTGCACCATGGAGGCCACTCCCCCTTTGTCTTAGACATCCTCATTCCTAATCTGATTTCCCTTATATGCCCACACATCCATTTCAACGTCCTCAGTTCTGCAACTTGCATCTCCTGAATATGGGTGGACCGACCAACATTTTTTCCTATACAATAAATCCGGTCTAACCACATAGAACTTACCTTTAAGTTTTCGTGGTGCATTTTTTTCACACAAGACTTTGGAGGCGAGTCAACAAATATGACTAACGTGTCATATTAGTCAACTTATATATTTGATGTTGTGGTCTTCCGTCTGCCCCTCCCTGCTTCATTTCTATCTAG